AAGGTTAGGAGATCCGGAATCGTCCGGATCTCGGGGGGTAGTTCGTTCCAGAGGGTGGGGGCACCCACAGAGAAGGCCCTCCCCCTGGGGGTCGCCAGCCGACATTGCTTGGCCGACGGCACCCTGAGGAGGCCCGCTCTGTGGGAGCGTACCGGTCTGTGGGAGGGAATCTGTGGCAGAAGGCGGTCTCGGAGGTATCTAGGTCCTATGCCATGCTGGGTTTTGCTGGAAGGCTGATTTTTTAGGATTGCTTCTTCCTTCCCACTTTCTTAGAAGCAGAAAGTCACTGATCTAATATAATACAATGTAATAATAATAGAAACAAGTGCATTATTTATTAGTTCGTTTGTTTATTTATTTAGAAAATTTTCAATAAATGTAATGCACTTGAATTATCCTGAACTCCCCCTACCACCCCCATCCCATCCCACCCCCGGTCCATGAAAAAAAATGTCTTCCATGAAACCAGTCCCTGGTGCCAAAAAGGTTGGGGACCTCTGCCCTAGACAGCCTGAGAGTCTTCCCCTCCCTTCCCACCTGGGGAGAGAAACCAGATTTCTCCTTCCCCTCTTTAGCGCACAAGGAGAAACAACTTTTACTTCAATTAACCCTGTTTGGCTGTTTGTCAGGCCATGAGGAATTTCTAGGTGAGGGAGAAAACCAGGTGTGGGGGGGGGGAGGTGTCTTTCCTTTGCAGGAAAGAAAATCTCACCTCCACTGCAACCATCGGAGGTCGAGGGTGGCACTGCCTCTGCTCACCTCCAGCACGGTGGCCCAGTTTTGATAACTTCTCCAGGTCAGCCTTGAAGACCCACTCAGGGGCCAGAAAGGCCTCCTTCTCCCCCTCCTCCATCCAGGGCACCAGAGGCTCCATCTTCCTGGTGAGGCTGTCATGGCGAGCGATGGGCTGGTCATCCAGGTAGCTCCTAATGGAGAACTGGGGCAGCTCCTGGCTGGGCTCTGGCAGATGCAGGTATAAGTAGCACAGGGAGTGTGCAGAAGAGCCTGGAGAGCGAGGAGAGAGAGAAGAGCAGAATTGGGGGGGGGGTCTTCACTGCAACTTCATCCCCTCCAACATCTTATTGTCACACAGCAGCCCCCCCTCCAAAAGTGGGTAGCCACATCTGGGTAAGATGCTCCTGCAGCTCCACTGGCCCCTGGGAGTTCCCAGCCGGCTGTTTGTGGGCCTGACCTCCATGGCGACCCCACCCCCTTGCCCACCATGGGAAGAGACAGGAACAGTGGTGGGATTCAGCCGGTTCGCACCACTTCGGCAGAACAGGGAGCTAATTTTTTGTTGCCCAGGCCCAGAAGGGACTTGCGGAAGCGGCATCCACACGTGAGTTGAACACCTGATTGGTCCCCAGAGAGACAACTTTTCAAGCGGGGGCAAAGTTGGTTGATAAGGGGGGAGCTGGATGCTAAGGACTTGGCCCATTGCTCAGGGAGGAGACGGAAGCCAGGAAGTAAGACCTTGAGCTAAACTAAGTCTCTTTTCACTTTTACGCTCTGTTCTCGCAGAAATACAAATGGGAGCCGATTCCAAAACAGTTACTAAACTAGGCTCTCTGAAGCGCGAGAGAAGGAAGAGTTTTTCCTTCTGAGAAAGGAGTTTGGGATGAGGGGGAATGGGGGAGAGAAAAACCCAGCCCAGGATATGCGCCCCCCCTTCTATTCCCCGCCCTTGCAAACCCACCGCAAAAAAGTCCATCCACGAAGGACCCCAGCACCGCTCCCAAGAGCAAGAGGGGCGCCCGGGGCAGCAGCATCGCCCTCCAACCACGCGCCCCCGGGCGCCTCCAACCGAGGACCCCTGCCGTCCGCTCACGACGAGTCGCTGCCTCCAGTCCGGGTCCGCAAAAAACAGCCCCAACTCTGCCAAAATTCTCCGGGTCCGCGAAGATGAGAGAAAACGGCGCGGCTCCCTTGCAGTCTTCCGGGGCCCTGGAGGGAGGGAGGGAGGGAGGGGTCCCAGGGAGACCTCGCCCACAATCGGGCAATGTGAGCGCTTAAACGTCTTGGTTCCGCCGGTTGTGTGGACGCAGCCTCTGCGACGCTTTCCTCGCTAATTCTCCTCGCGAGGCTCTCCAAGCGATCCTCCCCCTTCGCCCCATTGGGCTTTGGGGGAACCTTTTGGCAGGAGGCGGCGGTCGACGATCTGAAGGGGAAGGCCGCGTATTTGGGCAGCCTCGGGCTCGGGACCCCGCTCCCTTCCGCCAGGAGGCCCGGGAGACTCGCCAAGGAGCCAAGAGGGGCGCGGAGCGTTTTATCTGCACCTGCAACCGAAGATACCTTCGCTCCGCCAATGGCTGCGCCCGGTCTCCACCCTCGGCTCCCTCCCCCGAAGTCTGGGGGTTCGTAAGCAAAAGAGAGCAAAGATTACCGTGAAACCGCAGTCCCAAAGTCCGCGAAAGGGTGGGGCGAGGGTGGAGAGCGGCGCTGTCATTGGCGAAGCGAAGGTGTCTGCAGTTGCAGGTGGGAAGGCTCATTTTGCCAGGCGCCCCACATAATGGTCACATTTTCTTTCCTGAAAAGGAAAGGCCTCCCAATCTCCCCCGCCCTTGGTTTTCTCCTTCACCAAGACATTCTACGCAGCCTGATGCTAGCCAGAGTTAATTGAAGTAGAGAATACTTCTCCTTGTATGATAAAGAGGAGAGGAAGAAACCGTGTTTCTCTCTCCAGGGGGAAGAGGGATAGACTATAATTGTGTCAAGGGAGAGGAAACTTGGACCCTTTCCATCCACACCCACCCCCTCTGCCTCTCCTTCAGGGCTTCACACCTGGCAGGTGGTTTTGGGATGTGAGCTCTGGGAAGACGGGAGCAAAGGAGGGTTTTTGCACTATGGCTACGATGGGATGGACTTCATCAGCTTCGACAAGGAGACCCTCAGATGGGTGGCAGCTCAGCCCCAGGCCCAGAAGCTCAAGGAGGAGTGGTGATCCAGGATGGTCTGACAGACTTCCTGGAGGAGACCTGCTTTGAGTGGCTGCAGAGATACCTGCCTATCAGAAGAAGGATCCTTTGCAGAGGACAGGTGAGTGGCAAAGAGGGTCTCCACTGAGCATGCTTCCCCCTCCCCATATTATTTATGCCCCATGTAGCCAAGCCACCCTTTGCAGAAAAAGGTCAGTCAGTATCCCACATCACGACCGAGACTTCCGGTGGCAGGCGCCTTCGCTGGACGCAGCTGTTTGCTGCTCCCGCCTGTTTCTGCGTAAAAGCCGTTCTGACAGCCTGCATCAGCTGTCAAACGGCTTGATACCTTTCCCCTGGGCATAGGGGGAAAGGTGAGCTGCCCGAGGTAGGAGTTGAGTTCCCGAGTCGTCCCTTGTGGACGATGTAGGTGAG